TTATTAACTTTCAAGAACTATGGAGTATGAGTTAAAATTTTTTGATACATAAAGTAAATGTGGAAGAATGTAAAAATAAATTTAAAAATATAAAAAATTACCCAACGAAAATGAAAGGAAAAATCCTCAAACTAACCTTCTCATATTATACAAAATTAACTCGAAATAGACCATAGTACTTAATGTAAAATATAAAACTGCAAAAAATTTTAGAAAAACAACATGACAGAAAATCGTTGTGACCTTTAGACAAAAAGTTGTTAAATATGATAGTAAAAGCATGATCCACAACAGAAAAAATTGATAAATGGAAATTTATCAAAATTTAAAATTTTCGCTCAATGAAGATACCACTAAAAGAATGTAGTGGCAAGATACAGATGGGGAGAAAAATATTTGTAAGTTATGTTCAACAAATTCTTATATCCAGAATATGTAAAGTCTTAAAACTCAACAGTAAGAAACAAACAACCCAATTAAAAATGGGCAAAATATTTCAACAGATACTTTGCCAGAGAAGAAATATGGATGGTAAATAAATATATGAATAATTGTCAACAATAGCCATCAGAGAAACGTAAATTAGCATCACAAGGATGTATTACTACATAGAATGGCTAAAAAACAACTATTAAAACCAAACAGTAGCTAAGATGCAGAACAACTGCAACTCTAATGCATTGCTCCTAGAAATTAAAAATGGTAAAGAAATTCTGGAAGACAGTCTGGCAGTGACTTTTAAAGTTGGATGGACATTTAGCATATGACCTTGCAATCCTAGCAATCAAATGTCCAAACACTGGTAACAACTCCAGTGTCCTTTCCTAGGTAGGTAGATGCATCAACAAATTGTGGTACATTCCTGAAATGGACCCTTACTCAGCAACAAAAATGAACAAACTACTAATACACACAATGTGCAAATAAATCTCAAAATCTCAGAAAGCATTATGCTAAGTCAAAAGAGACAGTCTCAAAAGGTTATATATCATGTTTTCCTCATATAACATTTTGGAAAAGGCAAAACTATAGCAGCAGCTTCCAGAGTAGTGGTTGTCAGTGACTAGGGAAGAGGCGAGGGTGTGACCACAAAGGAGCCTAATGAGAGAATTTTTTAGTGAATTGTATTCAGCATACTTTGAGTACAAGTGAATTTTATTATAATCTACTTTTGAGAATATTATTCATAAAATATAGCATTTCTGATGAAAGAAAATGTGTGTATCTGAAATAGTTTCTATGAGTGTTATAAATAATCCAAAATAATCATCTTATTTGATTTTATTTTTGTCACATATATACATTACATATTTACATTTTGCATATTTATGCTTCCAAATTATGCTAGATTTAATGTGATGATAAATTCAGTTTTAATTCCTGAATCTTCTCTAGATGAATGCCGTTGTGGGGGGAGGGCAGGGAAATGAGGGTTTGGGGTGGGGTTGAAGGCAATACTGGGACATTTTAAGCATAGAGTCATGGTGATACATGTACAGGTCTCTGATTTTCCATAGACACTCCATCACAGCGGGTACAGTTTATCCTCGGAACTGAGGATGATGACGAGGAGCACATTCCCCATGACCTTTTCACAGAACTGGATGAGATTTGCTTGCGTGAAGGTGAGGATGCTGAGTGGCGAGAAACAGCCAGGTGAGGATTTCTGTTGAAGGGAGAAAGTAAAATGAAGAATTTTCATGTTACTAAAAAAAGCGATTCCTAATGTGATGACTTTGTAAACATCCCTGATTGTTGCTGATTTCTGAAGTTGCCTCTCTGGCCTGGGCATTTTCTATAATGGGATATGGGTCAGAATGAAATCTGAAGGCAGTAATTACAGTAAACAGTGATACAGAGCCAGCAACAGCTGCAGCCTTAAAGATAAACAGTAACATAATTTGTGTGTCATCCATAGAACAATAGAAATCCAAAAGTAATTTATTTCGGTCTTCTCAGCTGCTGGTTTGTGCCTGAATAAGTGAAATTATATCATAATTTGAGTTTTTTTTTCATTTACATGTTAAGAAAATTTTTACCATGTGGAGAAATTTATAGGGTTTGTTTTTAAAGAAAGGGCAAATATGATGATAAGAGGTTTTAGGTATAATCCTGGATTTCATGTACTATTTGGTGAGGATAAAAACATTTTGTAATGTAAATATTTTGTAGTATGTTTCTGTGATATGTATACATTTATACATAGTGATCTTTCAAATGTCTTTTTATAAATTCTCTCATATCATTTGTAATAAATATTTCTATATTGCCACACAACTGATAAAAAATGTAGCAAATTAAACTTTGTGCTTACTTTTCATTTGTTCTTCTTCATTTGTTCCTCATAAAACATATTTATAGACTATCCATTATGTTCCAGATGGAATGGGTATAGGACAACAACAATAAGTCTTAGATCTTGCCTTTAACAATCCTACTGTCTAATTTAGAAAAGTAATAACAAAGTTGTAAATGCTTTATAAATAATACTATGATGCAAGTCCACTCAAGGAACTGTGGGCACACATAGAGTTGTCATTTACCACTGCTTTCCAAATTTTAACAAGAACACTGAGCACTTAGGGTCTTGTGAAAATGTAGTTTCAGTAGGCCTTAGGTATAGTCTTGGGTCCTACATTTCTAATAAGCTTCCAGGAGATATCAAGGCAAATGTTTTTGGTGAGTAGGCCACTTTTTTAGTAGCAAGTATCTAAATTAAAAGAGTGGAGAGAGGATCAGCTTAGTTTCCCTGGTAGTTTCCCTGATTCCTGAGCTGGCTTTTGAAGGTTGAATTGGAGGTAGCTAGGCAGAAAAGGAGAGGGGGCAGATATTAGGCAGAGGGGACAGGATGTGCTTGAACACATCTTTGGCACAAGTTTTATTGTTTCATGGGCAAACCCTCCTAGGATCAGACAGCTCTAATTGTTGGAAATTCTTTCAGCCGAACATATTTGTTAGTGGTACTTAGATTGCAATAGCTTACTGAAAGCCACAACGCTCCGTTAGCTCATGTTAAACTGTAACTGTATTTAATCATTGCCTTAGCTCTATCTGTTCAGAGTAACTGTGGAATGAAATGTACAATCACGATAATGAATATCATGAATGATACCAGCCTAGTTTATTTTTGTTTGTTATATTTTGAGTGCCATTATTTAAAAAAATACTAAAACTTAATGGAAAAAAAGAACAAAATGGCTCTCATCTAGTAAATTTCTCTTAACTAATAAATAAACAAACTAATAACTACTTGTATTTAAAATTAAGAAATTATAGGATGGCATAAAATAAAAGTATTCCTTTACCCTTACTTACAGTATTTCTTTTAAAAAACAATTACTGCTAACAGTTTCTTATGGGTTTTTTTAAAAAAATAATTATTTTATTTTATTTAACTTTATTTATTTATTTATTTTGTCAGAGAGGGACAGAATGAGAGTGAGAGAGAAAGAGAGAGAGAGAGAGATGGAAAGTGAGAAATCAAGCCACCAGATTGGGGCTCGAACTGCGGTCAGCTATATGGGAGTCCAGGCCTTTAACCATCATAGCACTTCCCAGCCTCTCTTATGCATTTTTATAAAGAAAAATGTATATCCATATCTGCATGTAAATGCATGCCCTCTTTAACATTTTTTTTTTGAGAGGTTTTTACTATAGGGCACGTGTACTCGCCAGCCAGCCAGAGAGAGACAGAGAGACAGAAAGCGAGAAATCACCCCCTGGGGGGATGGCCACGCCGCAATCCCTTCTCCTCCATTCTCCTCTCGGGATCTTAGGCATGCACACACA